CGAACATTTAAATAAATGGTTTTGTTGGTCTTGTACGCAATTTGCTTGTGGAATGGACAAACTCAGGAGTAGGGAAAATACGTTATAGTTGGAATTCTGTTTTGATCAAATTGTGAACACCTTGCCAAAAAGCTGACGCCTCGCTACTGATTATATTATTTAAATATATAGAAAAACTGCAAAAAATCGAGACTTCTTTGAATAAAAATTCTTTAACAGAAATTTAAAGTTAACTTCAATATTTAAATGAGTTATTTAATAAAATCGAATACTGAATATGAAGTGAAGTATGGTGCTTATATCTATCTGTTTTGGAAACATAATTTTTCATAACAGTTATAGATGTTTACTTAGACACAATTTATCACTAATGACTTACTGCCACAAGCATTTAAACAGACCCAAACTGAGTCTTGCCCTACATATCAGTGAATACCACATTATAGTCAGTTCATTTCATTCAACGCCGACAGACGGTTTTCAACTTACAATGACGCACAGATGTGCAGGTTTGTCTGTACGGCTCAGTTGATATCTAATTCAATATCTGTGGTTACATATGAGTGGGTGAGTGTAGAAGACCAGATAGAATTCATTTAAATTGTTACATATTTCATCACTTAACATTTTCGTCTCTGTGCCGAGCTTAAGTGTGATTATTTTAATGCATTTGAGCGTATGCATTAATTTTCAGAACAGAAAGCCATTAAAATTTCTTTCAGCAATTTCAGCAATGCAAGAGATATTAAATTTAGTATCTGTAATGGCAGCTGCTATTTTGTGTGCTCAACATTCATTCATTCGTTCATTCCTTAACACATTTTCTACATACGTTAAATACATTACATATTTGTATTTGTAATAAATAAATTATGTGAGATAAATTTAATTTATGCATTAATATAATTTTACATAAATTGAATATTATTTAACTTTTCGAATATTTTGGTATTTCTATTAAATACAATGTAATATATTTCAAAGATGGAAATCTTATCTCACATTTAATCACTTCCATTTAAGATACATTATGAATATTTATTGTTTATAGTTTTTTAATAATTACAACGAAAATACTAATTAATAATTTATGTGATTTAGTGCATTAATTACTGACAATGGGTTTTATTTTATATTGAATACAAATATTTGATGGGCGCCCTAATTATATTTTAAATTTTCTATGGTTTTTCTTCTACATGATTTAAAAAAATTATATAAATACTATTATATATGAATTATTTTTTAATATATTTATATATTCCAAAAAAATCATAAAAGTTACCTATAATAAAACAATTATCAAAACTACATAAAATCTTTAAATAAGATTCAATAATAAATTTTTGTTTTAGTGTTTATGGATATGAAATATAAACTATTTGTGGGGCCCTATTGAATACTTAAGCTAGTATTTTGATATGCAGATGTCTGAGTTGGTGATACAACACCTTAACTCTATTTTATCTGTGGACAGTTTTAAGTCACACTAAGTATAACTGAATACGAGGCTTTATAATATGATGGATCTGATGTCTTTGTATCTGCCTGTATTTATCAGATTTCGCTGAATTTTTAGGTTGCTGAGTGTTAAGCTAGTCCAAAAACCTTATTTAGTGCTAACAACTTGCGTATTTTAAATCGATATGAATTCAAATACAAAACTTAAAAGTTATGAACTTTTATATAAAGTTGTAATGGAGAATTAGTTCCTTAATTTTTAATATAATTACTACCTATCAAAATTAGAACTACAGAATGTTTATACTAGACTCACACGAGAATTTTATTTGTAAAAATTTTCAATAATTTTATTTTGCGTTGAAAGCAGCAACAATTGACAGCTAAGATTACAAACTTGATAGTTAAAATTACAAACAAAACTGTCGTGTGAATCCAGTATAACCCTTATTGATTTTAAGAACAACCATTGCCATGAATTAAATTTGAAATCTTTATTTTGTACTCATCACACGAAAAAATTTGTGTAGATTTAAAGATTTTCAATGTTTTTAACTTGGGGTTAAATCATATCAATAGATATTCCTAAATTATAGCATAGCATACTTTAAGTTTGGGGGCTCTACCAATATTCGCTGTACTAACACGCTTTCATATATCAAATATAATAAATCACCAATAAATAAATAAATAAATACAATGAAGAAGAAGAATTATTGAACTCATTGCAGATTTGAACAAATTTAAAAAAACACATTTTGTCTAACTGTCCTGTAAAACTGACAGCCCAGTTTTACAGGACTGGGGCACATGTCTGAGGTTGCTGTCTGAGGGAAGCATACTTTCGCTAGAAATAAAACTCTAATCTGGTATCATAATGGACGTCAATGGTCTACGCGTGGCCTTTTTGGCTTGCCAGCATAACATAACCTAACCTAAATAAGATTTCTAACAAACGATATATAGTCGCGATTTCTTAAAAAAAATATATAGAATCTTAATCTTAATGGTCTGAATATACGAGATCTGAATATACGTAATTATTTAAAGTATCATAATATATATATGTCATGAATTGGATTTAATGTTACAACAAATCATAAAATGCTTATACAGACTTGAATTCATTATTAAATTGAATTATCGATTATGGGAGAATATGGGAGAGAGACTGTGACATTTAAAGAGGTTTACTATTTGTCATGATGTTTGACTAAAATATACCAGTCGGCAGTATTGCTTTGAAGATGAACATGATATATATAATTTGAATTCATTATTAAATTGAATTGTCGGTTATGGAAGATTATGGCAGATGGATTGTGACATTTCAAGAGATTTACAATTTGTCATGATATTTAAAATGTACCAGTGGGCAATATTTCTTTGAAGATGAATATGCATATATAAAGAAGAAAAACTCACGCCATTGTATTGTAAATATATAATGCCTTCCAGATAACAATCTATTTTCACATCAGTAGATATATATAGTTGCTATGGTATCTTTATAATTAGTTTGTCTCACCAAGTGTATACATAGTATAATATGCATGGGAATGGGAATGGCAATAAGAATGGGAAACTGAGGTATATTTTGGAAAACTTGATAAATCGTATTATTTGAAAGGTTTCGCATGTGTTGAAGGATTCTTGCACTCGATGTGTAGAACTGAAAGAATACTATATATTGCATAAAATATAATTTTCCAAAAAAAAAACCGCTTTTATTACTAAGGCCGAGTAATCATCAATCCACCTAGAAAATAGTGTTTATTTCAATATATTGATAGCCTCAGCTTTCGAGTTTATTAAACCTGTTGATAGTATCATGATTGTTTTTCGTATTTTTTTTTTGAATTTTGTGTGGAGTATGTATACATGAGTTGGATATAAGAATACCCAAGGTGATAACGACACATTTAAGATGAACTTTATGCAGTAATTTGCATTAAGTAATTAAATTAATTTTTAATTTATTCAGAGAGCTTTAGCAACGATCGGGTGAGAAGTTGTTGTACATGCATATCCATAAAAAATGAAGAGCAAAGCTTTCAACATGTTAAAGATGATCGTAAGCGACCATACCATTTCACAACGATGAGCATGAGAATGACATAAACGATTTTAGGATGGTCTAGAAGATATTGAAAAGGATGCAAGGTCTGGATATTCTAACGCTTTCGTTAATAAAGAAAACGTCAAAACATATAAGCAATTATGCTTGCCAGCAGAAGGATTATAATTAGATAGATTGTAAGAGATTTCAACAAAGTCATATAGATTGTCATATATATATATCCAATCAAACAGATTACATATGCAAAGTTTATGCAAAGTAATTATTATGAATATTTCGGATATAAGATACATCAATGTTTAGAAAAACCTCTGCTTGACAAAAGTAACACTATGCATACATAAAAATAAAAAATGTACATATATTCTTTTTTTTTCCTAAAACTGAACTTAATCCTATGCAAGTAAAAGAGTGAAAACTTAAATTATTTCATTCTATTTAAGAGGTTTTCCTACTGTCAAATAAACTTGTTTACTTTTCATACGTCAAAAAAAATAGAGCACCTCCAAGAAATAAGGTTATCCTTTCTTTGCCTTTCCGTCTTTTTGTTTTTATTCCTAAAATTTAAATGTTGAAGTTGACGATGCTTGCCTGGTAGACTGTGCGGGCAAAAATTTTATGCAAGCACACATTTTGCTTGCATATTTTAAGGAGCACATTTTTTTGCGTGTTTTTTTTTGGTTTTCTGTGTTTAATGTGAATTAAAAAAATTAAAAAAAAATACAATAAAAGTTCAAAAATTTAAAAAAAAGTAAAGCTAGAAAGTGTGTATAAAAGTATCCACAAAAATTATGCGATAAGCTAATGTATTCTATGGGTTTATATCAAGCCTACTTTCCGGGGTGAAATTAAATGTTGTAAAGCACGCCTAAAAATCGGCTATGGAAAATAGCAAGAAATTTAAATTTAAATTAAATATTTTTTTCAGTGTACGACATATATACTATGTTATATATGTTCAAAAATGTTATAAAAATATGTTCTTTAGTTATTTAAATTTTATATTTATGTTTTAGTTACTCACACGCATTAACAATTTGTTCGCATTTGCATTTCATAAAATAAATTTCCTTTCAAAATGTGTTCTCCTCGACTAAGAACGCCCAAGCGGCACTGGCAACACTTTTTTTCTGCTCGGAGATCCTGAAATTTATGTAAAACAATTCAAATCCATAAATATCAGCATCGTCCTTGACTATTATGACTTCCAAACTTTAACTAAATCAGTTAGGAACTCAACAATGAAAATCGAAAAAAATTTAAAGTGAAATGAAAAACATAAATAAAAATGAAAATAAAAGCAATAAAACAGCACAAAACAATCGACGAACATGAATTTCCATTTCACTTTTTGTCATTATTTATGCAAAACTTTTCAGGCGTAAATACGCCAGTGTCGTGAACGGTTTTTTACAAACGTTTTCTGACTTTTACTTAAATTTTTAATAAATTTTCTTACTTTTTTTTAAGCTGTTGAACTGAGCACTTGAAACTTTTAACTTGTAACTTGCGTTGCCATTTCATGTAAATTTCTTAAATTTTTAATGGTGACATGCCGAAACGATATTTTTTCCTTTTAATTCAATGTACTTTTTCTGTTAAGTTTTGTTTTTAATTAATTTTTTTCTTTTTAAATTTTTAAATGCTTTTTATTTGTAATCGTCAAGCGAACAACCTTTCAGAAACGTCCAAACACTACGATTGTACTGAGAACACTGCTGAAAGGGATGAAAATGTGCCGCCTTCTATGGAATTGCACGAATTCACACACTTGCCACTCTGAAGCACGCATTCCGTGTGACTAAATTCCAATGTGCTTTCTAATTTCTCACTGAGTGTGGACATCTCTCGCATGGAGATGGAGCACGCGAGCACACAACTCACGTAACAATAAACTTTGAATGTAGAACTAAGAGTGTAGAGATTTCGCGTAGAGTTGGAAAGACCTCATACTCTACAATCCTGTCTCCTCATTGTCAGATTAACAGTTGTTGTGTAGAGTGTGTCCCTTTTAAGGCTCTGTAGAAAATATTTTTATAGGAAATACCCATTTGCGATTGTCACAAAAATAAACTTAAGAGTATAAAAAATAAAGAGATGCTTATGAGGATATCAGATACTTAGAGTGAACATTTTGTTTGAAGAAGCAAACATATTTTATTACTTAGAACTAGCACTGTGATTCCCGTAGTATTACAACAAATCATTACTTGAGCTCAAGTGAGCTTTGGACACATGCCCTCCACTCCAACCTAACTTAATCTAGTACCATAAAGCACTTGAAAAACTATAAACTCCAAACTTTTATATTTGATAAAATTTAAAGATATTTGTTTCATTAAAAAGCTTGTTTGAGAATAACAATATATACATTAATATAATAGACTACTATGTAAAGAAAGTACCAGAATCTGACAATGAAAAATACAATATGAATTATTTAGCAAAATGTATGGATGGCCCGTAAAGTAGGTTACTTATTAACTTCACCGAATAAGCCAATCATCAAAATATTTTTTAAACTATTTATTTGAAATCAACTTCAATACTTGCCACGAATTGACTTTTATCTCATCTATCGAATAAAAGCCTGTATCTTGAAGTGGTGATTTGCATTTTGGAAAAAGAAATGAATCCGTCGGAGTCATATTAAGGGGAATACTGTGACTATTTGATAAGATTTGTTAAATTTTTTGCAAGAAATTCGTTCACAATGAGAGTCTTGTGAGATGGTGTGGTATAGCGATCTAAAGTCCATGAGTTTTCTTTCCGCAAATCTGGTTGCTTAACACTCAGATAATGTTCTAATGTTTTTAATGCTTATTTTTAGTTTTAATCAACTTTGATACGTTTTTTTTCAGTTTCGGTTCAGTTGGAAAACGCTATCCTGCAACTAATTAACTGGTTCACATATTAAAATCATAAACTCTTGTCTCATAACCAGTTGTAATACGTTTTATGAACATTACGTCGAAATGAACTGAATATATCATGTCTTTAGCTCAGTTCATTTCTTTTACGTCGAAATGAACTGAATATATCATGTCTTTAGCAACTTTTACGTGATTGAGGTTTTGCAGGAAACTCCGCTTTCTCGGGACTAGTCGAGCGATAGCATGTTTCACATGAAAACAATCGCAAAAATTTTAGTAGTCACCTATCTCTGACTTAAGTGAGGATTTTTAAGCAATATTGCCTTAAATTTAACGTTATTAAGTTTGGTTAAAGACGTTAATGATCGAGAAGAGCGAGGCAAATTTTTCGCCACATCTCAAACGTTTTGAAATGCACTGTACTACTTATACATTGATAAAGACGACTTACCGCAAGCCTTATATCCCGAACCTAGTGACAAAAACCATCCCTTTAAACTAACTTCTATTTATGAAGTTTCCATTACTCCCTTGAAAGTAGAAATACTTTCTAGAGTGTAGGTGTTTATAATTTAAAAATTTATCTAACTGAAGTATTTAAATTTACCTACCTGAGGTGCTCTTGTTAAGCAATTAAAAATACACTTAATTGCTGTTCCAGGTCAGAAGAATTTAATGAGAAATTTCTCGTAGAATCCTTAAAAGCTCATAATCCTCATAATACATTAAAAAATTAAGAATCCTCATTACACTAGCTAACATCCTCAAGAACTTCCAGCGTAGCTGTCATTCAACTATAAACATTCCGAAATCCAGATTGTGAAGAAGACAGCAGATAAATAAAGCCGAGGTGACCACAAATCGACTCAGCCAATATGGTTTCGTATATCTTTCAAAAAGAGCATGGAGTTGTGATATATATATGACAAAATAAGTTTTATGAATTTAACGGGAATCACATCGCAAAATGCATGGTTGTTTGATTGTCATTAGTTTAGAAATAAATATGTTTATTGTAGTCATTCTAGTCCAATGCTAAAAACAAATTTGAAATGTTTTCGTTTTGTAGTGGGTCATCGAATTATCCATTTGTTATTTATTTAAAAGCTTTTCATATATTCTGACCGTCCCGTCTTAACTTCCCTGAAGTGAGAAGACATAATTTTTAAATTTACATTTAATATCACAATTATTATATTTAATGATTCTTGATCATTTTTAGGCATCATTTTTTATCTAATTTAAAATATAATTCTGCCTGTATGGACAAGAATTACAGGACAGGACAGACAGGAATATTTACCTTTACATAAGCAATTAAAAGCCAAATCTAAGGATTTACCCTGTATGTCTTTTACTTTTACCCATGTATTTTTGAATGATCATCTCAACTTCCTTTAAAGTAATGTTGCAGATTCCCTATGATTACGCTGTTCACGTCATATTGCTCGAAATTTTATAGTTATAATAACAGAAAGCGTATCTGTGCTAATATAAAAGATTTGGCAAACTTATTCGGATTATAGCCATTTCAATACAAATTTTAACAACAATCTTTTTGATGCATTTAGTTTGTATACTACACTGATTTCGTCTACACCACTGCCTTAGAAACTTTCCTTTCATCTTCAGCAAATGGCATATCTACTCATTGACTGCAGGTTATTGTAGGTAGCATGCTATCAGTAAGTAAGTAATAATGTTGGAGTGGCGGCTTTGTATCTAAAAATACCCATTTAATGTCAAATAATACCCAATTGTGGTACCACAGGAATAGCGTTGGTTCGTACATAGACCTAATATTGTATCATGACAGCGCAGTCAGGTCGGTAAAAAACAAGGAACCAATCAGTGAACATGACTCAAGCTATCTTCTAATTGCGATATCTATGATTTATAAAGTTGTTAATTTTTCTTGGATTTCTTTAATTTTGTAAAAATTCAATTAAAATGGGCTTTAAAGTATAAAAGAAAAATCGCTTTGAGTAACTCTGCATAGCTTTTCTTAGAAATTTAGTTCCAACTTGACTATAAGACAGGATTTTCGGGGATTATATCAAACTCTCAACATATTATTTGCTGTCAAAACCGTAATGACTTTATCATATTTATTCTATTTTCTCCAAAGAGGTTTGATCAATCTACCAGGCTGCTGTATGCATAGCTCTAAGAAGTACATCTCTTCTCTTATATATTATTGAAGAATAAAATCTATTATTTGTTATTTAGTTCCCTTAATAAAATGAAACTACTGTAGATTTCTAGAAATATTGGTATTAGATAGAATAATGTTGCAAATGGAACTTCTAGAAATAAAAACAGCAGACAGATAATTTTTTATTGCGAAATTTTATTTTACTTTTCATTGGTTTAATTTAAAATAAAGTTTTCAAAACAATAAAATAATAAAAGAATATTAAAATATTTTTAAAATTAAAACAAAATTAAACAAAAATGCTAACAGTTGAAAACAGACTCTCTTTATTTCAAAGAACACATTTTTATTCTACTTGGGTGGGCACAAGATAGACAACTTCTTCGATATGTAGCACTATTAAGTGCCTGTCAGACAGAAGTGTTGACATATGAGTACATGGACAAATATTTTTAATGTTTCTCATCAATACCAGTTCTATTTTAAAATGAAGAAATTCTTTCTTATCGGTTTTTGAATATCACTTTTAAATATTATTTACAAAAATCAACAGAACAATGAAAATTAATATAGATTTGGTTTCCTAAAGATTTGATATCAATAAATACCAGATTCCTTACGGATTTTCTTTTATATATATATCTATTAATTCATATATTAAATGCAATATTTACATATGAAACCATGTTTTCAAAAAATCAATTGATTTGATATAAAATTTTATTTGAATATATTGTTTAGACATTGCCATTACATATATTTTATTATTATTAATAGTTTTTATAAAGTATTATGTTTATATATTGTATTATCAGTTATATTTGTTTAAAAATAAATAATTGAACCATGTTTTATATCAATTGAACTTGTACGATACGAAACCGATAACCCATTTCTTTTGTCCCAAAATATAAACTTCTGTGCTCTCTTAAGATAGAGTAACTACACAGACAATGTATTTAATCGTTGATTTCTCTTGAAACGCGTTCAACAGCCTACAATGGACTGATGTGATCAACACCCTAAAAACACGCTTTAATACACCGATGTATTTGATGCGAATGATCCGCAACTACCTTAGCGATAGAGAGCTTCTCTATCACACAATCAGTGGCACAAAAATTAAAATTTCTTCTGGAGCAGCACAGGGCTCTATCCTTCTCCCCGATTTATGGAATTCAAGCTACGATGAAATATTCTGCATTGAAATGCCAAACAACGTTCACCTAGTCGGTTTTGCCGACGATGTAGCCGCAGTCATCACAGCACGAAATGTACCCGTAGAACAGGTCAGACTGAACCAGGTGATGCTACGCACGATGGCATGGATGGATGACCGTGGTCTAAAGCTAGCAAATGAGAAGATGGAACTGATTATCCTAAAGAAGCAGCAAACACCCTTGAAAATTGAAGTCCGATTCTACAACTCAACCATTAAAATGTCCAAGGTAATGATATATATGAGGTCCAAGATGTAGTATTGGGCTCAGATAAACCATGCTGTCGAAAAAGCTGTAAAGGCCTCAGCGTCCTTAAGTAAGATGATGGCAAACGATGGCGGCCGAACAGAAGGCAAGCGAAAACTACTAATGACAGTTGTGAACGCCGTTCTACTCTGCGGTGGCAATCAGGGTAGCGCCTGCTTATTGTACGTTCTACGGTGCGGCGATCCTTGTTATAAACAACTCAATACTCATCAGCCTCATGACCATGAAACGGAAGCAGGCATGGTTAAGCCGCCAAAGCAACGACAACAACAGCGTGAGCTAAATTACCGGAAACACACAATGCTAGAGTGGCAGAACCGGTGATGCAACGGAACTAGTGGCAGATGGACTGCAAGACTCGACAGAGCCAGCTTGCAAGCACAGATAGGTGGCATTCTACTGGCAAGTGAAAACAGCTGGTTCGTGGTGGCGAGGCGCGTGGAGGCAGTACTACGTGCAAAAAAGAGGCGCCCGGAAACAGGCACAACAGCAGCGTCGTGAGATTAAATCCTACAATCAGGATATGCATGGCATAAAGCAATACCTAGTGGTGGTTCCGGGTCATGTACTTCATCCCGGAAAGTGAAGTTTTTTAGCGTGTCAGGGATAAAAGTGCGAACCGCGCATTACCCACAGAAAGACGTTTCTGCGGGTGTGTGTGGACATTTTTTGGTCCCCAGCCTCGAAAGATATGAAAAAAAAAAAAATTGTGTTAGGAGTATGTAATTTTTAACATTCAATTTGTAAACAAAAAATATATGATTTTCTTGATTTGAGGCAGTATGAACACTTTCGAAATTAACTTAATTTCATTTTAGAAATTAAGGAAATTTGGCTGTCTGAACATAGTATAATACCATGTTTCTACTGATCTCATTTAAGCAGTTTTGCTCATTAAGGTCGCGAATGAGAATATATACAAAGACATTTCATACAAATGAACTAAATAACGTACTAGAAAGCAAATACTTAATGAAATTGTTTTTATTATTTAAATATGTAATAAATATAGAAAATGTGATAAATGATTAAATAAAATAATTATATATTTAAATTTTCAAATACAAAAACTCAATGGCAAAAAGGAATAGATGCTAGTATGTGATTAAATAAAGTTTTGTGTTTTCATAAATTAAACATGCAATAGATATTTAAAGAAAAGTAATGCTATTTGTTGTGTTTCATTAATTATTAATTTTTTCCATGCCTTGCACGTTGTTTTCTGTATGCATCTATTGCCTCATTCATGTTATGAATAACTTCACAAACGCTGTATGTTTTAAATTGTTTATATTTTCAGCTTTTTTCATGCTAAATTAATTAATTTCTGCTAAGAATACAAAATTAAATATCATATGCTTTCAATTGAAATATATAAGCAAAGAAAACTTCTCTATAATTTTTACAGAACTTTTTGACACATAAAAGTTGTTTGACATTTATAAATTAGTTCATGCAAATGGAAACGACCAAACGTTAATTACTTTAACTTAAGTAATTTTAGCTACAATGGAGATCACCAACATTTTTGCAATTTGACAATTTTCGGCCAGTGTAAACGCCATATTAAATAAATATACCTATTTATCTTATATATGTTACTTTCAGAAATGTAAATAAATATACCTATTTATCTTATATATGTTACTTTCAGAAATGTATTAAACTATGTTCCGTAAAAATATATCATATTGAATTTTCAACAAGTATTTCTGTCCTGGGTGTATGCATATAAACATTTAGTTTCGTTGTTATACCACTCAAAACAACCCTGTTCAAGTTACATCCCTGGTTATTCAAATAACAGCTTTTGACAGACATTCAGTGTCATATGAGCAAATAAAGTGACTGAATGGTAACATATCAATAATAAAGAATTGTTAACATAATTCTTCTATACGATTAATATAAAAAGCAATGCTTTAAACCACAAATATATCCCAACCAACAGTAAGTAAGAATTATACAAAATGGAGACATGCTGAGTCTGAAAACAGTCGCCCATTTGGCGCTTATCATCTAACCAATGCAATTCAAATTGAAATAACAGTTCCAACATTTTGTGGCTATTCGGTTCTATACTTCGTTCAAATAAAACCTCTATTTAAGAATGTCAGCATTACAACTGGCTTAGCAAAATACGATTTAGGGGTGGGCAATCTCGATATTGTAACACTGGGGGACATTACAGATGTTATACGATGCGTTAATAACACGTATAAAACCGTTAAGTAGCTATTAATCCCAAATTTCAAGGTCTATAAAAGGAGTAAAATGCTGCACTTGATATGCGTACTGTTCGAACTATAATTGATGAAGAAATCAAAAGACTTTGGTTAAATTGTCTATCAGAAGTGGTTTATGTATTTTATCAGTTTTAGACGCCAACCTAAATATAAGTGCGCAGCAAGAAGCGCTTATCCAAAATGCTATCAGCGGTTGACGAAGACAATAGACCACACAAATCCAAGCAATCATTATTAATATTCCTTGAAACCCAGTCAAATTGTCCATACTGTACTGTAAACGTAACGAAATTGCAACCGTTTCACAAGTAAAACTTAACTCAATATTGCACTTTCGTTAAAAAATTGCTAGACGTTTTTTGTGATATTATGAAAACTGTTAAGATACCAGAATACCACAGTATATCCATATAAATTGTTGAGGCAAACAATTGACAGTCCTCTCTCCGCTGATTACTGGAATGAAATTTCCTTAATTGCAGTTAATGACTGTTTGCTAAAGTTGCAAAGACGACATTCTTTGTAGTAATAAAAAGAAAACTTTAGCTAAGCACGATACTTAAAATGTATACATCTGTGGCTACCGAAAAATAATATCGTTTGAACATTAAATCCCTTATTTCATTATAATATAAAACAAGAAAATGATGGATTCAATTAAATAGAAAGAAAATAGAAAATTTGGAAAAGTAAGAATTTTGAAATAAATTTTCACCTGAAACGCTATGGTTAAATGGATTTCATGAATAGTAAATGATGTTGTCCATTTCGGTTTATGTAATAGTAAATAATTTTCTCGAATATTTGTATTAAATATGTAAAACTGATCTTTTAAACAAAAATGTTAAGCACCTATTATTGCTTTAAATTATTAAATAGCATGTCGGTTTTTCCAGAATCAAAAATAAAGAGAATAAGATATACAATATATATATTACTATAATTTGGTTACTAATTAAGCAAAATCATTTAGATAAGAATCTTTGGTGTTTTATTAAAGTTTTAACTAAGAATTAGTTTCATTTAATAAGTTCAAATTAAATTTTAACTCTCAGCCATAAGCTACGATTATTTTGGTTTCTGTAAATTTTACCTATTCTTGTTTCTTGTTTTCATAAAAAGCCAAAGATCCTTATGTAAATTATTTTGGTTAATAGGTAAATAATCAAAACTGAAAAGGATAATTATTATAGGCGGGTTTTCATAACATTATTTCAACATTGGCAATAAAAGCACGAACCTGTTCTTATGATAGACAACAGCATGATTTATTTCATATCTTCTGCAATTCTACACCAACTGTTACAGTACATCGTCCAACATACCGGGTGCCCAAAATGAAACCTTATTTTAATTTGCAAAAAAATGTTTCAAACTTTGCTTAAACTAAAATCCTCTTGTTTCATTTTAGTGCTACTCTTTCTGTTATATTTTATAATATATAATATGTATTATGTATATAATTTTTTTTATGTTTTTTGTGTAAACATGCAGTTCATGTTTTTGTTTTGTTTTTAAAAGTTAATACAGAGAATGAAACAACACATGATATAATTGCTTAAAACAAATTCAATTAAAAATAGACGAATTATTTTAATAACATACGTATATGTGTATATTATTTCATATTCTATTAAATCATGTCTCTAATTATTTCCAAATAATAATTCATAATTCAAACAAATAGTATTTAATTAATTCATAAGAGTCGCTTTTATTTACATCGATTTATGCTAAATTAAATTTAATTAAAATTATTAACATTCTTTTAAAATTTCACACGTTTTACATAAGCCTGCTCTCCCTTTATACTAAAAAGGGAGCCAAAATCGACTTTGCATTAAAAACTTACGTTTAAACATTTATTTGTATATTATAATTAATTATATGCAAAACATATATGCTTTTATATAATATATAGTTTAATATATTATTTCTAATTACATATAAATCGTTATCGCTAGCATGAACTCTTTACTGGGTAGGTCATGTCTTATCATCTTACAAACTAAAATTGATATATTAAACACATCGGTGATTTATTATATATATAATTTTATAAAAATAGTTTTTACTTTTTAGCTTTATCAATTTAGGTATGTGTAAAAATATGTTTATTTTTTTCATTTTTTTCCATTATAATGAATCATAAATAAAATGTTGCTTATTTCGCAACATAAGTTTATAAATATTTGTTTATCGTTTTAAACAATTTTATTTAAATAGTAAAGCCACAAATATAAGGAATTTTATTAAGCAATTTTTAAATAGGAGCACTAGTAAAAATGGTTATTTATTTCGAAAAACGCACGTTTTGACTGGCCATACAGTTCTTTCCGTTACTACCAAATAAAGTATCTATTATCAGTGCTTCGAATTTGAAAAAGTTCAGATTTGTTTGTTGTTGTTATATACTATAAGTTTCATTCCACAACGGCTATGTTGTATATAATTTACATCAATAATTTTCACAAACGTTTAAGCATCTCTCGATTTTTGACGCTATTCATAGAGCAAATTTCATGAAGTTGCAAACTAATATTGTATATAAAAAAACTATCATTTTTCTTATACTTCCCATTGGAAGTGGAAAAACTTGCATTCAAGCTCTTGAATAGAGAAAATTTTAAAATGGACTAAACAACTTAATCTTAATAAATACGAGTACTTCGAAATTTTTTCATATAAAAACTTTAATAAAATATTTTTCTGTATAAGTAATTGCCATAAAAATTATTAAACTTTACAGTTCAAAAATATTTATATGTAAAATATGTAAAATAATAAATAAATAACATATATTGTAAATTTAAATAGGAATAGATACAAAAAAAGAACAAAAAACTTAATAATAACAAAAGTAAAGTAAAGATTACAATTAGAGTATTTAAAGAAAAACAATAAATGTATGTTAAGAGCAAATTTGACGAATTACTATAATTTTCGAAAAAATTTACAAACATTTTTTAAAAAAACTATGTGTATAAAAATAAAAATCACGTAGTGATCACTTTAATTACGACAGTTTATGCTCCTCCGCACATTGCAAAAGCCGCTAAAAATTTCAGATTAATGCTGCTCTATGAAACTATGAAGCGATACTGGTACGCAATCTTGATATGGCAATTTATGCTGTTGTATCACACGCGATGCCAGACATCTGAGCGTTGTATATTTCAGTGGATTACAAATTTCATGTATTTTCGTAGGTTTAATTAACGATTCAAAAGTTTCGCCATCCTTATTTTTTGTATCCTTTAAAAAATAAAATTTTTATTAATTATTTTTCTTATATTAATTAATTAGGACATTACCAAATGTGCACCATTATCAAGTAAAATTTTAACTAACGAAGGTGAAGAATAGATATGAGATACAGCTGATAAATGTAAAGGCGTATTGCCACCATCATCTTTAGCATTCGGATCTGCCCCCACTTCTAGTAATGCCTTAGCTAATGACGGTGAAGGAAATTGACAAGCGGGGTAATGTCCAACTAATGTACCTTCGCGATAACATGCATAATGCAGCGGAGTGCGTCCTAATCGTACAGCTACTTTCAAGCGATTTAATTTATAAAGCGATTGCATTATTTCCTGTTTCACATTTACAGGAAAATTATCATTCTCTAATAATATAACCAACAAACAGCCAATGTGCAAAGAACTAACTAAAGCTCGACTCAGTGCATTTGGATCATGATTACAGTCATGTGTGTGTTGCGGAACTACAGAATTTTTATGTTGCTCCAATGTCCAAAGTTGACCTTAAATAATAAAAATATATAAATATACACTTTCAGTTTTAAAGTAAATTAAATATATATAAACAAACCTCTTTCAACTTCTATAACAGCCTTATTAAATATCATAAGCATATCGGTAACCTCAATAGGAGGCACAACACGTCCACGTGGCAGCAAACGTCCAGCTTCAACTAACATAAAACTAAACAATTCAGCAAATGACAGCAGGGACGATTGTGTCATTGGACTTAATGGTTGTAGTATTTTCTGTTGCATGGTTAATGCATATGTCCACAGTTCAATGCAGCGATCGAAACGTCCAGCATCAGCATAATTTGCTCCTCTAAAAATTCAGTAAACAAATTTATTATGATACTAAAAACAAAACTTTTCAAGTATTATTTTAAGATAAAAGTTTTTATAATTCAACTTGTTAAATTATACTACGTATAGGAAGGTTTAGTTTAAATGTCACGTATGGACCCTGAGGACAGTTATAAAGAAATCTTGAGTCTTTGTAATTGATGATTAATCTGTCAGGTAACACCAACTTTTAACTGAGTAAAGTATTGCAAATCATTATATAAAATCTTAAATCCATATCTGAATTGTTTTATTCTTTTGATATTTATATACAGAACATCAGTTTAGTAAAATTTGTTTACAGTACGAAGCTTTTTTTCAGTAGCTTTGCAGAAAGTGGAAGAAAAATTATTATATGTACATATTAAAAAGTGCAGAAAATTTGACTTCCAGTTGTTATGAAAGCATAACCAACGATGCTCTAAACGGCATTTGGTCTTAACGTTTTACCTTAAATTATTTAAAATATGATATTAGGCCACTCGATACTACCAACTTGGGACAGTAAGCAATTGATCAGTCTGGCTGGCTGAGGCTACTTGACGCGGCTATGGACGACCCACGTCTGATATGGCCCGCTAAATAAGTAAGGTCAACCGTTATACATTTTTCTTAATCAAAATAAGAAATATTTGCTTTAGCTGTGCTCTTTTGCTTTGTGCTTATTCGTATATTAAAAACTCTAAATGTTCAAAGCAACCAAAACCAATAAATAGCATTGGTTACAGGAGAGACTGGGTTTATGTCCTAGAATCAGTCCTCAATTTTGACAACCAAATACCGTTCACTACTCCCAAAAGGAACTATACCATATATTTAAACCACAATAATTCAATAAATAAATATTATCACAAACCTAAATCTTATATAATAACTAGTATCTGGATGCGTAGGACCTAATATCCTTTGTCGTATAACTAATGCTTGCATTCGCATTTCGTCTGGATCCAATACTAATTCTTCTAAATCTTCCACCGTATTTACTTCTGAAACATATTCATAAGCAGCAATTGGTTCGTTTATAACTTTCGGTATTAATGGCTCCTGGTTTCGATCTTCCATAGCACGACGCCATAAAGATAATGCACTAATCATATCACGTTTTTTATCTACATATGTGGCACCCAATAACTCCAATGCATCAATACGGTTTTTACGACTAACACATGGTAAAGTAATGAGATGTTCCACAATACTTATGTGACCTGTAACACTTGCCGCTAACAAAGGTGTCATGCCATAGTAATCCTCATCCATGGTAGCGCCATGTTTAAGCAATAATTGTAATATTTCTAAGGAACCAGATTCTGCGCAGTCATGTAAAGCTGTATTGCCCTTTATGCTACAACGGTTTACGTTTGCATTCAGTGAGAGCAAAAATTGTGCTATTTTAAAGTGTCCTCGGTAACATGCAATCATTAGACACGTGTGACCATGACGATTTGCTACTTCAAAATCTGTAATATATAATTTTATTTGATTATTTTGTCAGAAATAAAAAGAATTTACTTGACTTACCTGCACCGTGTTGAACTAAATATTTTACAATTTCAAAATGTCCATCATAGCAGGCAGCACGTAGTGGCGTTGAATTTGTGCGAGATGTACTATTCACATTGGCACCACGTCTCACAAGCAGCTTCACTATACCTAAGTGACCTGCTGCGGCGGCGCACCATAACGCTGGTGCATCCTCAATTGGTTCGCCATCAAATCTAACTGATCCCACTTCTTCGATATCGACATTACAATTTGTTAACAAATATTGCACGACATCGAAATGTCCATTTCGGCATGCAATCACTAATGGTGTAGCTCCATGAACTCTGGATGATACAAGTGCATATATTTCAAACGTCGGTCTACCGCTAAGTACACACTGAAAATAAATTAAATAGAACATCAATTATATTCGTTATATTGCAACATAACTTCATGAAAAGAAGTAATGGTTCAGATAATGAGATATATATATATAGCAACTTATCAGTTGATAAATAATATGTTTCAAGCTTACATTTACGGTTCTGATTGAATTGTACTGATAAGAGAAAATAGAACATTTAAAGTTTTAGAATATTTCAAGAACACAACATGTGCAGACATATTATATATCAATTATTAATTGTTGGTATGAACAACAGTACAGAACATTTATACCATATTTAAAAACGATAAAAATCAAATCTTGAAACATTTACATCGTAACTTTTTAATTTACATAAATTTAACATAATGACCCTATATATGGATTTTAATGTCTTAAAACATTTTAATTTTAATTACTGATTAGTATAAAATATGTATACAAGATATTTATTTATTTTTTAATACAACATTTATGGCTACATGCATATTTAAACAATTTTATTGGATTTAAAATATTTAATTTTGTTGCTTTAAGAAGTTTGTTAACCCTGATCTTAAAGAATCTTCTGTCCTTCACACAATTTTAAACCGGCTCTCGTATATATTTTGGTTAAAATTATATTCATTTTATAAACATTAACTATTTATTAAAATGCACAAAACTTTATATATGACATTTTCGAATAGCCTTCATTGTCTCTTTAATCCAGGATAAATAATATTAAGCTGGATAATTAGAACATCAGTTCAAGCAAGTTAATGGAATTAATAACTATTTAACAGTTTGTGATATAAATAATATATTTTTTCATCAAAAAGAAAACTTAAGCAGGCTAACTAAGAGAGTTTAAAAAATTTAATATAATCATTTATGTAAAAAACAAAAATTTATATAAATATATAAACAAAAACTTTAATAAAACTAAAATCAATAAATATAAATTTTTCAATGAAAATAATTTGAACAACATAAAACAATCCTAAGAAGTAAACAAAATATGTGTGTTTATAAAAAAAATATTTAAAAATAATTTTAGGAAAAATTAATTTAGGAAGCTGCAAAAATGTAAAATTTTTATACTTATATATTTTAATATGTATTAATATAGTTTCTGATATATATTTGTCATATTCATGAGGACGAATTTAGATGAAAGTCGAAATATTGATTATTGAAAAGTTAATGTAAAATAATTTAAGTTGTTTTTGTTTAATTTTTATTTGTTAGAATATGTGAACGTACTTATTTGACCTATTAGCCTAATAAAAAACAATAATATAAATTTTGGGTGTAAAGTAGTATGTATAAAAAAAATAAAATAAATTTAAATTAAATAAAGTAAAATATTTTTATTTTTAAAAATATATATGTAAATGTAAATGTTACTATAACTATAAACATAAATTTAAATATAATATATAAATTAAAAACAATGTTGATAGCTATTAACAAAAAATAAAAATAAAACAAAAATAAATAATATAAAAAATAATAATAATAAACAAAATAATAATAATAAACAAAATAATAATAACAATAAAAATAAAAATAATAGCAATATTAAAAAAATTAATAATAATTACGATAAAAAAAAATTATAACGAAAACAAAAAATAAAAAAACCATGATAAAAATAATAAAAATATGACAAAAATTAAAAAAAATTAAAAAAATAAATTAATTAAAAACATAAGAACGAATTATAAGAAAAAAAATAAAATAAAAACTCATAAGAACGAATTATAAGAAAATAAATAAAATAAAAACTCATAAGAACGAATTATAAGAAAATAAATAAAATAAAAACTCATAAGAACGAATTATAAGAAAATAAATAAAATAAAAACTCATAAGAACGAATTATAAGAAAATAAATGAAATAAAAACTCATAAGAACGAATTATAAGAAAATAAATAAAATAAAAACTCATAAGAACGAATTATAAGAAAATAAATAAAATAAAAACTCATAATAACGAATTATAAGAAAATAATTAAAATAAAAACTCATAAGAACGAATTATAAAACAAAATTACGAATAAAGTACATGACTTTATTATAATATATTATAATATAAGAAATATTAAATATAAAAAATATTAAATAAATTACTAATAAAGTAATGTAAAAAAAATATATGAAAATATATAAAAATATGTGAAAATATATGTGTTAAATATATTTGTTAAATAAATGAACATGACTTATTTAGTAAAATTATTTTAAAACTATTTAAATTAAATAGATTAATCGAAATAATATCTAATATAATTTATCTAAATAATTAACTAAAAGAAAAGACATTTAAATAAAATCAAATAATTTTTAACCAAATAAAAAAATTGAATTTTCATAGAAACTTAAGTAAAATAAAAATAAATAAATTAATAAATTTAATAATAAATTTTATTATAATAATAAATTTAATAATAATAATAAAAAATTTAATAATAATAATAATAAATTTAATAATAATAATAAATTTAATAATAACAATAATAAACAGTTTTAAATCAAGAAACAAAATGATTAACAAACAATATAAAAACAATTTTTTTATTGTTTAAACTCATTATATATTTAAATAACAATTGAAACCATTTTAAATAAAAAAATAAATATTAACATAAATATAAATTCAATATTTATTTTTAAAGATTAAGGCAAAGGCAACTAAACTGTGGACAATTTCTTTGTTGGTAGGACTTAGTATATATACTTAGAAAAGTATATAATACACAACTTAAAGAAAGCAAGCAAAAAACTATATACAAATAATATATAAAAAATATATATAATAGAATTTTTTTTAAAATGTTCAGGGTTTTCTATGCATTAAACAATAGATTATTTTTGTTCAGAAGGTGTCAAAATTAAATTTATTTAACTTGATATACTCAAGTTAAATCTCCCTTATTATATTTTTATTTAATTTCACGGCATTGCTGGCTAATACTCATATATAACAATGAAAATCAATACAAAGCAAAAATTTAATATTTTTCACTTGACCTCATTAAGAAATATTTTTATGTTTCGTTTTTGTTCTACGATGAGACGCAATTTTGAGACATAAAATTTAATTTTCCTAGAGTTTCACAAAAGAAAATGAGGACTTGAGTGGACACCACCACAGAAGACTATAATTAATTTGCTACGCATTTGGAAAATTGACAAAACTTATTTTTACTTATTATATATAACAATGATTTTGAATTGCATTACTTTCACAACAGAAAATAAATTATAATTATTGTATGAGGCGGTATGTATTTATTTATGTTTATTATTTTAATTTCCGCAACTTAGCTTTTTAACTTTCTTTCACTTACAACACTACACAATTCAATTTAAATCTAACATAATGTGAATGTATCTGCACACAAACTGGTTCACAAATAAAAATATTGACATTGAACTCTTACAATGCCAACTCAGTAAAAGTCAATGTATATTAGATAATAAAACATACATAAAACAGACACTAAAAATAGAGATCTTCGATTTTATACACGAAAAAATATGTATCTTTGCCGTACGAAAAACAATGCATTAGATACAAATTGAAAAGATATAAGAAAAATTTGAAAAAAAATTTACAAAAAATAAATAGTATCTAACAACACTGAAAAAACCGATAATAATAATAGACTTTGTAGGACCCTGAAATAACAAAACGTGCACTCTTAAATGTACGATTTTCGTATTAAATTTTTTTATTTTATTTATTTATTTATTTTTTTTTTGGTTTTTTATATAAATAAAATAAGGTGAATAAAATTTAATTAGGTAGGGTTCAATAGCAATTTTGAATGTTTTACGTATTTTTCTAATTAAATATTTAAATTATTTAGTTCTGAGTATTTAAAAGTCTTTCGATACTAATTCGAATTAATCATATTCATGAATAACATGCAATTATTATTGGTTAGTAACGAAAATATATAAAAATATTTTATTGTGAATAAAACAGGAACACTTAAATAAAATATATATATAGTTATATAGAAATATACATATATATATTACTTATAGAAGTACTAGATGAATTAATAAATACCCAGCCTAAGTAATGCAAACGTATTTTTTTTTTGGAAAATAATATTTTATACTTTCATATAGTTCCCTTTTAGCTGGACACACCGAGTCTACGATCTTTCAACATTTGGATACCTTTTAAATAATATGATTTTTCAAGTGCTCTAAATTATACCTCAGTTTCCCATTCCACTTCATCATTTGATGCAAATGTCTTTTCCTGGAGCCATCTTTTCAAGTTTGGAAAAAAGTAATAGTCACTTGGAGCTAAATCTGGAGTAATTCATTTAGTTTTGCCATGGTTTTCATTAACGTGTAAGCGGATGCGTTATCCTGCAAAAACAAAAATTTGATTTTCGACAAATGTGGTCATTTTTCTTAATTTCCTCATTCAATTGATCCAATAATTTGCAATAGTAGTCTGATGTTATTGTTTTTCCTTTTTCGTTCTTCCAAATAGGCTATAATAATTATTCCACTTTAATCCCAAAATACGAAAATCAAAACGTTTCCTGCCGATTGTTGAGTTCGTAATTATTTGGAAGCACAATCCCCGGGTTCTATCCATTCTCTGGCTTGTTGTTTTCCCTCAGGTGTGAAGTAATGTGGATCATTTCATCAATTATCACCATTCGACATCAGTCATTCGATGTGGAATTGCATTTTTCAATTAGATAACGTAACCTAAATATCAGTAGAGATGTTAGATAGGGCTTGCACCTCACCAAGAAGAGAGTTATGCTCAAACACATAACTTCAACTGGTACCGGCGGAATTCCTCGAAATTCCAATGAAGCTTTTATCGCAATATACCACGATGTTAAGCCTTTATGGCAGGTATCCACATAAAATTCTGGACCTACATGTGAGCTAGATTGTCCACAAATATTTTCAAACAATGTTTTGAATGACGAAGTCGTTGTCGTTTTTGGTCAGTTGTGAGCAAACGCAACACCGACTTTGTTGAAAG